AACCAACAAATCCGATCCTGGAGGCCTTGCAGTTCCCATCTCGCACCTCGTCTTGGTGCCTGAAACCACAGGACACGTCCAGAGGTCTTGTGAAGTCCATGCCTCGTTCGATCAGAGCTGTTTTAGGACCTAGATGATATTAGGAAGGTGGTTTTAATGTTGTGGCAATCCAGCCCTCCTGGATTGACTTGCGAACAACATGTTTTGCTTATAAATCAAGAATATAGTGTATCGAAAGGTAATCAATTATTTTATTTAAATACAACATTTACTTTGTGGAACACAATCCTGGAAGATTTCTAGAATTATCTACACTCGTGACCAATCAAAATCTTAGTATTCGCAGAGATGACCTTAATTGATTTAGAACTGGCCTAATATTAGTGTTTCTGTATTTTAAGTTAGATCAAGGTTGGATCCTAAAACTCATTGATCTATTGCTCACTTCTGCCTTTGGAAATGTGAACTGCAACTCCTGGTCTTTATTGTTGGTCACTCTATTGGGTCAGGCACTGTTTCCCAAATAAAAAACCCATGAAGAAAATCTGGTTTGGTTGACCATGAACAACATTTTTTCGACACTAAGTGTACATTGATATTCTTTGAAGCACCTTGGGGTACCATGTAGTAATAGCATGGTACATTCATATAGCAAGCGTTCAGTATTACCATCTGAAACCATCACTGTACCCCATGGTACCACCAAAATATTTTTATGGGAAGGTAAACTGACAATGCAAAAAATGCAATTCTTTTTAATAACATTACAAGCAGACAGATTTAAACATTTGTTGATTAAAAACACTAATGTTTACAATTACGAAGTGTTTCAACTGAAGCTACCATTATATGTTAAAGTGCAGTTAAACTGTTCAGTAAAGGCTTCCAGCAGTTTTGGTACGGCCTCTTCAGTCGAGACATCCCGTCCCAGCTCTCGGCTCAGTGAGGTCACACCTTTTCCCACAATCCCACATGGCACGATGTTGTCAAACCAACTCATGTCTGTGTTGCAGTTAAGAGCCAAACCATGAGAGGTGATGTATCTTCCACAGTGGATACCTGCAAAACAAGACAATTACCAACACAATACTTGATCACATTCTTGAACTTTATTTGTACAATCCTGATTTTTTTTTTCTCCATTTAAAGCGGGAAATATATTGTTGAAACATTTTATACAAAGAAAGTATAATAATGATAAAATAAAATGCACTTTTTTTTTTAGGTGACCAATCAAATGTAAACAAATTGTGACAATGAAAATGCTTTTGGGAACATTCAATACTAGGGATGCTCATTTCGGTTAATTTTCCCGACCGACAACCGCCACTCGTTATCCGAGTATTAGCCGTTAACTGATACGATTATAATAGCCTATTGAATTAAATAAAAATAAAATTTACGAGTGTCTGTGACCCGTTAAAAATACAAAAAATTTTTCACGGGTTTATTTTAACGTGCAAACAGCAGAACAGATCAACAACAGAACCTGGATTCACATCAAATTTTCACACACTTGACAGTGACAACAGAGAAAAACAGAATAAAATAATATAAAAACATAAAATAGGTCTACACTAAATATTTTCAAATTAAGATGACAAAAATAAATCACTGAATCCATTTGAAGCTTTGAAACCCGGCCCCCCCCCCCAAAATTTCCTCCAGATTAATTTTTTCATCAAATAAAAATAGCAGGCCTACCCCAATCCACACATTGTCTAGTTTTTATTTTTTTTAAAAGTAGCCTAACAGGTCTACATGATGTGGGGTTAGTCTGGAACGCAGCCTGAGTTAGACCTGCGGCAGAAAACACATGATCCGATGGCACAGATGTCCCGGGAACACAGAGATAACGTCTCGCTAGAATGGCCAGCTTCAGGAAGCGACTTTCGTTTGCTTCGCAAGTGATATTGCATTGTACTTGTAACTACTGCTGTATTTTAATACCACGTAGCATATTTTGCAAGTAATTTCGTCGCCCTTTCTGTCGAAATGGTGCCACACGGTACTTCTTTTCGCTCGCTCGATTCATTTTGCTTGCTCAGCTAAATATGTCTGTAGACACGTGTGGTTGCGTGTGTCGACGCGCCCCGTGAGTTAACAAATATAGGCTATATAGTATTTTTTTTATAGTATGTTTTTTAAACATGCAGCAAACTACAAAAAAAAATGTAACTGTTAAACCGTTTAACTGATAGTATTAATCGGTCAAAATTTTTACTTTCGGTTAACGGTTAAACGGTCAATATGAGCATACCTATTCAATACACTACTGGTGAAAAAGTTTGGGATCAATTAAGATTTTATCTTTATTTTTAAAGAAATTAAAACTTTGCTATGGAAGCGTGTTTCCGCCACAGAATAAAAAATAAAAAAGGTACATTAGAATTTTGACCTCATAATTCTGACTTTTTTTTCTTCACAATTGCGAGTTTACATCGCGCAATTCTGACTTTTTATCTCAAAATTGCAATTGCGAGTTTTAAGTCAGAATTGTGTGTTATAAAGTCAGAATTACAAGATATAAACTCACAATTGTGTGTTATAAAGTCTATAAACAAAACATATCATGGTTTCCACAAACATTAAGCAGCACAACTTTCAACACTGATAATAATAAGAAATGTTTTGCGAGATCCAAATAAGCGTATTAGAGTGATTTCTGAAGGATAAAAAAAAATGTAATTAAACATATTTCAACGTTTATCCACAGTATTACAATTTTACTGTATTTTTAATCAAATCAATACAGCCTCAGTTAAACTTCTTTCAAAAACCTAAAACAGATTTTAGCCTTCTATGGTGGTGTATATTATATATACACACACATACACAGATGAGCCAAAACATTTTGAGCACCAGCCTAATATGCTGTTAGCCCTCCCTATGCTGCCGACCCACTGTGGAATAAGTTACTTACCAATTGCACAAAGTTTGTTGTTGCCCACCCAGACACCTGTATCTGGAGAAGTGGAGGCATTGATCCCAAATTTACTGCACATCTTGATCACAGTCCTTTCCAGTTCACACACGTACCACCTCACACTCTTCTTAAAGCAGCCCAGGTTGAGGACGGGATAACACACTAACTGACCAGGTCCATGGAAGGTTATCAGACCTCCTCGGTTGGTGCGGAAGAAGTCTGCGCCCAGCTCTCTGAGTCTTCGCTCCTCCTCGGGCGGGTAAGGAGCCTGTCTGATGCCAATGGTGTACACAGGCTCATGCTCACACAGTAATAAAGTGTTCTGGCTGATGCTCGACGAATCCAGATGTTGCTTTATGTGCAGCTGCTGTATCTTCAAGGCACTACCGTAGGAAATCCTCCCTAAATGCAGCACCTTGACAGCAGCCTTACCGACTGACATTGTGTTTTCAGATGAGCTTTTCAAGCATCAACTACACAGATGGAAAACAAGGTCACAATTAGTTCCATATTTTGCCCAACTTAATTTGTCCATGAAATATAATTCAAAGGAGGTTGGCATGACATTCAGAAGCAATGAAAGCAGTTTCCTGCAGTGTATTTTTTCTTTTTCAAAGAAAGTTAACTTTTTTCATTGTTTCATAAATAGGAATCCTGTTTTTTCATGATGGGTATAATGAAGGTTGCAATAAATACGATTTTTGTTTTTTACATTTAATGTATGCTATTTATCAACTATTCATATATACGTTAATGACCCGACGAATCAATTAATCTGATAACTTGATCTGCAATTAATCTGATAGATTTTCGGAGAAATCCATCACTAACTGTAATATCCTCATTTCACACCAGTTTTAAAAGAGGACGCACCGAATACAAAGTTGATAACAGCAAGTTCCAACATAATATGATGTTGTACGCTCATAAAGCAGAGATTTCCATCTTTATGAGAGTGTACAGTAAGAACACAAGTTGTTAAAGGACAGTCTTCTTACTGTACGCGCTGCAGTGCTGCCACAGAGCGGGCTTATTCTGCTTCACTCCAGAGGGCGACGAGGGCGGAAGCGGGATGCGTTACTGCCATCTACCGGTCTGGTGCGCTACCGTCTAAACTCAACTTCAAAATGAAATCAAAAATACAGAGAAAAATTAAATAAACTTGTGAAATATTATTACTAACTAAAATAATGGATTTATATTTTCATATACTTTAAATGTAATTTATTTCTGTGAGGAAAAGTTTATTTTTTTCACATCATTCCAGTCTTCAGTCACATGAAATCATTCTGATATGATGTTTTGATCCTCAAGAAACATTATTATCAATGTTGAAAACAGTTGTGCTGCTTAATATATTTTTTTGGAACCTGTGATACTTTTTTTTCAGAATGCATTGATGAATAAAAGGTTAAAAATAACAGCATTTATAAAAATCTCTTCTAACAATATAAATCTTTACTATCACTTTAATATGTGTCTTTAAAAAAAGAAAAACAAATACTGACCCCAAACTTTTGAATAGTGTTACGAAATATTTATATTTAAAATAAAAGCTGTTCTTTTAAAACTTTTTATTCATCAAAGAATCCTGAAAAAAGTATCACAGATTATAAAAAATATTAAGCAGCACATCTGTTTCCAACATTGATGATAAATCATATTAGAATGATTTCTAATATGATTAGAATGATTTCTGAAGGATCATGTGAGACTGAAGACCGAAGTAATGATGCTGAAAATTCAGCTTTGGATCATATTAAAAAAGAAAACCATTATTTTAAATTGTAATAATATTTCACAATATTACAGTTATTTCCCTGTATTTTTAATCAAAAAAGTGCAGGCTTGATAAGACTTTTTTCAAACACATTAAAAATAGCGATTTCCAAACTTTTGACCGGTATATTACAGTATTTACTATATATAAGTTACTATATATATATATATATTTTTTTTTAAGATTAAGTCAAGTGCCCCGATACTTTGTAACTTGTCTATAAAATAAAAATAATAAAAATAAAAAATAAAATAGGTCCCACCGCTGCAGGTGACGTCACGAGAGGGCGGGGCGTGTTTTCAAACCCAGGCAGAGTCAGGCTCACACCAACGAAGATGGCGGCGGTGGGGTCCGCCAAATCCACTGGACTGGGACAGAGAGGCAAAAGCAGGCCAGGCGCTCACACCGCTCCGCTGTCTCTGGAGGAGGCCCGGTGTCCGGTGTGCTCGGAGATACTCCTGGAGCCGGTGACGATGCCCTGCGGACACTCGGTGTGCCTGCACTGCTTCCAGCGGACGGTGAAGCTGATCAGCCTGTGCTGTCCGCTGTGCCGGCTGCGGGTGTCCAGCTGGGCCCGCACACAGTCCCGGGAGAAGAGCCTGGTCAACGCCGAGCTGTGGGAGCTGGTCCGCCTCAGTCACCCGGAGAGATGCAAGCGGAGGATGGAGCAGAGGGACGGGGAGATCGCGGACGGGGGTTAGTCAGTGTGACTTGACGAATATTACATAATCATGAGTTTGAAATCATTGTTTACGCTTGGAGACATCGCCGAATGACATGGCAGACAGTTGTAACGTTAACTTACACCTTCAGCGATTTCAGTTCAGATAACCGTTTCGCCAGATAACTCCATAATAACAAGTTATGTTTTTATTATCGAGTGTTTCTATTATCCAACGCGAAGGATATGAAACATAAATGTGATTTTTGTAAAACAGGGAACTGTAATCTGAAGGAAAACAGCAGTGTTTTGTTGGGGGGCGTTCACACTGACTTCACACAGGACTGTCTGCGCTGTTTTAAACGTTTGGTCTGTGTGTGTAATTCATAGTCGCGTTGCGTTTTGAATTCGAAAAAACACAACTAAAGACGATTTTAGTGGCTAATTTGATCAAACACGTAACATATACTTGTTTTTGTTGTTGTATATAAAGACATCTCTGGGAAAAGAATAAGACACCACTGCATAATTAGCAGTTTCTCTGGATTTATTATTTATGTATGTATGTGTTTGAGTGAGTAATTATTATTATTATTATTTTGACTTATTCTACTGACAACTTTTCTTTTTTCCAAATTCCAATAAAAAATATTGTCATTCAGAGCATGTATTTGCATAAAATGACAACTGGTCAAAATAACGCAAAAAAAGGCATGTTTTCAGACCTCGAATAATTCACAGAAAACAAGTTTATGACCATCAGAACGTGGTCAACATTATAACTACGTGATTGAATAATTTAGTATTAATTAATTTAAGAATTACTTTAATTTAAGAATTTGTTTTATAAAAAAAAAGATGTTTATTCAAGTTTTAGTTTTCGCTATGATTTACAAGACATTCTAGTGTGGTATCCTATTCCTAACCTGGCTGTTTGTAAACTTGATTGAATGTAAAACTGAGAGGTAACTTGTCCAGGCATGTGTGTGTCCAGTGGGCGGAGCTAGTGACAGAACTGAGATTCTAGAGAGCATCAAGTGTGTTTGTCATGGTTTGGTCCCATTAGTGAGGTTGAATTTGTGTTAGGAAAAAGGGAAGCCAATTGGCCATGTTGTCTTCTTTTTTTGTGATTTCTTATATGTTTATGTTTTCATCTCTTAGAAATTTTTCGTGCGCCTGTGCCAATTCATAAGCCTGGAGAAATGCGTCAAGACTACGAGAAACAAAAGATGAAGGTAAGTTACAGAGGCATGACACTACTGAGTCAATTGTTTGCACTCTTTATTGCCATTTTCTCACATGACGTAAATTTTTGCCTACATTTACAAATAAAAATTATAGTATTACATTGTTCTTGGACATGTGCCATGCTATTTTTTAAATTAACCTGTAGTACCTTATATAAATACCCCAGTATTAACATTTGATAAAATTACTATTGTTCCAACAAAGTGGGAAAGTTCACAAACGTCTTTCATACGGGATTTAAATGATAGCCTGCACTTATTTGGCATTTGGTAAAATGCAAAGCACTTCTGATTTCTAATAAGCTTGTTTTGCTACAGTTGCATATATATATATATATATAAAGCACAGGGTTATTTTTCAGAGTGGATGCAGTGAAGAAACTGAAGAGAGAAAGAAAAAAATCCATAGAAAAGAAGACTGTGGGATGCTCAAACATTGTCAATATCCTGTATGTTCAAAACTCTTCTTCGTTGGGTCTAAGCTGGGTGTAAACAAATATGCACACATTAATTCATATACTTCACAATTTGGCATATTTCTATTATTAACTATTTTGCTACTGCCTAATTACGTTTGCTCATCCGTCTTACACTGTAGTTACTGTGTTTCAGTTCTGTGGAGTGTCAGACTCTGAGAATGAAGAGCCAGTGGGAAAGAGGACCAGACACGTTTCAGCATTTGTACGAAAAACAAGATGCTCCCCTGCTTTCAATAGAGGGTATTGCACTTCACATATTTACTTCGTATTTTATGTGTATTTATGTCCTTAGTATTTATTATTAGTGGTAGAATTATGATTTTTAATTGTATCTAGAATGGCGGGGCATGGAAAACACACAAAAAAACGAAAAAAAAAACCCTATTCCTTATATGACAATTTCCACATTTTTAAAAAACAGTCACCAAAACTATGAAAATAAAACAGAGGCATACAAATTATGCAGTGGCCAAAAGTGTCAAGCAAATTATGTGGTTTAAACCTTTTCATATATATATATATATATATATGTATGTATGTATGTATGTATGTATGTATGTATGTATGTATGTATGAAATAGGTTTATATGGTGTATAGGTTTATTTGTACCTTTGATTATAGCACAATATCTACAATAATAGTGTTTATTTTTCTAATCTAAACATCTAATTTTGAGGTGTTACATAGAGATAAACATCCATACCATCATTGTGCTGCATTCCAGTTGTCTTCATAGCAGTGCCGTTCAGAGGAGCAGGAGCTGTACGGATTCTGAGGATGGCAGAGGAAAAAGCAGAGTTCACACACATCATGCTGTTCCTGACAAGGTATAATATTTCAGTTATTGCCTGAATGTGTTATCATATTCTAATCATATCTAATTTGTTGTTTAATGGTGTATTGTTAGATAAAACACCAGTCCTGTTCTGAGAAATATATTTGGCTCTCAACTTCACTGCAGAGTACTGAAAAAAATATTTTAGCAAGCAACCATTTAGAAGACACATTTATCCAAAGCAGTTTAGCTTAGGTCCAACCCTAATTAAACGCACATGAACAAGCTAATCAAGGTCTTCAGGATTACTAGAAAATTACAAGCAGGCAAGTTTGTAAAAAAGCACGGTGGACCTCTAGGGCCAGATTTGAAGAACTCTGTCCTAGAGAAACCTAAGTTTAAAGGCTCAGGTATACCTCATTTTCTGCAGTGGAACGTGGACACAGGAAGTGCTTTTTCTTCTTTGGGGATCGAACCAGCCTTACTAGGTTGAAGCTCTGGAGTTTTCCCTGCACCAGAAAACAGCCTAACAGATTTCAGTGCAGAAAATGACATGATTTTTAACATCTTCTGCAATGCACTAAATTGAGATTTTCATGTAGGTCCATTTGTGCTTTTAGAAATCCAATATATTGCCAGTTAATTTAACAACTGACTTTTTTCCACACCTTCAAATGAATCTTGTGCATTCCTATTCCTCAAATCCACAGCTTGTTTTAGTGTATAGGTGTGTTCACTCCATGTTGGAATTACCGTAATTACAAGATTTCGACTTGTAAAAAGAGTTCACGTCCTCGTAGAACTTGTAATTACATCTGGTTAAACTCAGAATTTTCTGAGAGCTTGTTCTGACTTGTGCCACGTGACCGACCGCTCCGGATTCATTTTGCCGTTGATAGTGTTGCTGTAGAAATGCATAATTCTGATTCCGAGGACGGGAACTAGAGGTCTTCGCGGGATCTGAAAACCTGAGGTACGACCCGAGATCCAAGGGGGTTCGGGCCCAAAACTTTGTCGAGTGCCTTGGACATGGGTTGGGTTCGGTATTAGTGGTCTATGGTAATTTAAAATAAATGCTTTTTCTGAATGGACGTGAGAAAGCTTGAATTCTTTTAAACTATGTTGAGCATTTAACAAAATTGTATTACGTATTTAAAACAATTCTATGACAACGTTATCTCAGTTTTTCTAATTTCTCTCTGAATCCGCGCTTCTGTGTGCAATGGCCTACACGCACAGTTGCTTCCGTGAATCATTGCTCCACATTTTTGCCTACTCTTTCAACGAGTGTCGTCAGCATGAATTAAAATAAACTTTAATCATCTTATGGTCAGATAAATAACATTACTTCAAAAGTAATAGGACGTAATGAGGTTACAGTGATGAGTGATTGACATTTCAGCACGTTCTAGCGCGTTCATGTCAAGTGCATTTTTGAGAAACGCACATAGAAAAGTTAAATGTTTGTAACCTCGCTCACAGAAATCCGTCCTATACCTATGAGATCCATCAGGAAAAGCCATTCTCTTCATTATGCTGCGTGTTCATGCAGGGATTTTCTGTTTTGTGTGCACCGTAGATGAGGTAATTAACGTTGCAGACAACACTAGCAAATCCTTGCTTGAATGAATACCTTTGGGTAGGGTCGGACTCGGGTCTACTTCTATCGGGTCTGTCTCAGGTCGGGTTTTTCTTAAAAAAAAAAAATTTATGCATGTCGTGTTTGTGTAAGAAGTTATTCGAGTCGGGTACAGATTTTAGGGTCCGAGAAGACCTCTAACGTTAACATCTCCAAGTAGAACGTCCCGGATTGTCATCTCATAATTACGGTATTTACAACATGGCGTGAACGCAGCATATAATCACCCAATCTTTGCCACTAGGCCACAGCACCTATATAGTAGGACAGGGGTTTCCAATCCGGCTACTGAAGTTTAGCTCCAATTCTAATTAAACAGACCTGAACCAGCTAATCAATGTCTTCAAAATGACTAGAAACTTCCAGAAGAGTGTTTAAGGGCAGGTAGGCGCTAAACTCTGCCAGACCTTGGCCCTTCAGAAGCACAATTGGACACCCCTGGAGAAGGAAGTAGCATCTGTTGTTGCAAGCAGTGGTAGGCTTGACAAAAGGCACATTTTCCATTGAATCACTCATTTTTATTGTCAGTCATACTACTCTCCCACTCTTTCCCCGCTCTAGGCAAGCATCACTCATAGTTACAACGCTGGAATCCTTCTCTCCTCGGAGAACAGTCTGTCTTTTTCAGCCCCGGTGCTGAGCCTAGATAAGAGACACCACTGGCGGGGCATCCACACCTCTTCCGTTTCTGCTGTGCTACAAACGAAACCAGAGAGGTCCATTAGCCCCGAGAGCAACGATAGCATATCGGAAGAACTCAACCATTTCAAGCCTATCGTCTGCTCGCCATGCACGCCACCCAAAAGGTTGCCCGACGGGCGACTTTTGGAGCCTACGATCGTGAAGTCGACCCCTAGGAACTTGACACGCACTCTGCAGAAGTCCACAAGCTACGAGGCCAGCCCCACCATCTTGCAGAAGTGGAAGCAGATTGAAGTTGATCGCCAGAGCATCAAAGTGACCTCCAAAGGTACAGTCACAAGTCCGATCGCAGAGGATCCCAGCCATAAACTGAGTCCCGTAGAAGAACGGGACAGCCGACTCTGCAGCTGTGCTGTAGCCACGGACGGCTTGAAGGATCATCAGTGCATTTGTGAGTCAAGTGCCAAAGGGTCTAAGGATCATAAACTTGTAGTCTGCAATAAACGGCGGCTTATATTTGATCAGTGTAAGAAAGAGGAAGATACACAGCCAGTTAGCGCTCATGTCAGGTCGACAACTCAAACTATTGCAGATACTTCATCCCCAAAAAGGCGTAGCAGATGTGAAGCACGCTGTGAACCCACAGAAACGTGTGCACCGATGTTAGATAAACACGCTGGACATTGTAATCAGGGAACTGTAGACCCTGAGAACTTTATAAACGAGCCTAGCACCAGGAGCTGTGTACTTAACAGACCTACCTCAAGAAGGGGTAAAAAGAGAAGCCACAAAACCAAACACTTGGAGGAGAAACTCCAGGCAAAAATATCTCGGACCAATAGCCGCAATGCCTGCAACAGGCTTGATGATCCTATTGTCCGGCGAATGAATCAGGAAAAGGTGGACCGAGAACTGGCACTGAAGCTACAGAGACAGTTTGACAGAGAATGCCAAAAAGTGGACAGGCTCAAAACAAGTCGTAACAAATACGAACTCAGGTCCTGGGCTACGAAAGATGGGATGGTAGGACACAATACACGCAGATCAGGAAGAATCTCCAAAAGAAATGAGCACTTGAACTATAGTTGTTAAAGGGACTTGCGGTTATAGTAGAGTTTTATCGTAGTGATTCATAGCAGTCGCAAACGTTTTCTTTGCTTAGGCACTATAGAGGCTTTCTAACATCTGGATGAGTATTGCAAGATATTAAGGTATTTACTTTTTCGACTTGCCGTTTAACAGATGTGTTTCATCCAAAGTGTTTCATCCGAGTCCAAGTAGAGGAACCTGGGGTTAAGTGCCTTTGCTCAAGGGCAATGGTCGCAGGACAGGATTGGGCTCTCGGCAACTTTCCCATTCATGGGGATTCAAAGCTGCAGTGTTTTGTTTCCGGCTTTGTTACTGTTTAACTGGCTTCTACTACTCGAAAAGAGGAAACTAGGTGTATGTTGTTTGGGGGACGGAAAATGCATACATTTTGAACTCTTTTAAAAGGCTTTTCAGGTCTTCAAGCCAGAGACAATAGTACTCCTTACAATCTCTGTGTGCTCATCACAATCACAATAGCTCCTCAAGAAGTTTGTTTGCATGTTTGAAAGTTATCATAGGACATTTGTTAAAACAGAAGGTGTTTTGTACAAAGGTGTAGCATAACCCTTTTTCTTTGGAATTTCTTGTTTCCAGTGGCCTGGGAAGTTTTCTCTTGATGTATCAATCTATCAAACAACTTGTACGAATATATATATATTTTTTGTGAATGATTTGGGTGGGAAAGAGTAAAATTGTAGCCTTAGGTCAGAAAACTACTCTACACAAGCGCATAGACGCAAATGCTTGGTCAACGGTTTGCAAGAGCGCAGTCTTGTTTGTGCGTAACCTTAAGTGCATTCTTAAGTACTGGGAAGGAAACAAACTTTAGTACTCAAGGCATCCATAGAGTTGCCTTCAAATGTTTGTGCCATTAATCACGATGTATTATTTTTAGTTAGAACCGCTTTAAGACAAACATCTAAGGATACTAAAAAAAGCGCAACACTCCGTTACACATTTGTTCAACTATTTTTGGAGTTTACAACGAAAAACAAAAAGAGCTTATTTCAAACTAAAATAAACCTCGAAGGAGGTGGTAAGTGGTTCACCAGAGAACACGATCACAGATTACGGGTTCAGCTAACGCCTGCTATAGCACCCCTTGTGGCAGAGCGGAGAATGCAACACTTGTGTTGTTACACATCTCATCATTTGAAATCAAACTCGAAAGAAAGACTTTAGAAAGCGCTTGCGGTCTCATGTTTGTGTAGAGTATGTTTTTTGGCCTAACATTTTTCATTTTTTTTACCATTAAGTAAAATAGCTATAAAATAGTTTGGGATGTTAAAATGCTAAAAGGCATTGTGTGACAATGTTGACCATTAAGATTTCTAAAGAAATCTGATCGTTTTATTTTGACTTTTATTATTTAAACTAATCCTAGCTTCTTTTATTGTTTTTTTTTTTCTCTAGTGTTTTTGACAGTCTCCGAATTGTAATCTAAATGAATTATAATAAATCTGATTTAGAGGATATAAAGTAACTGCATTGGATACTTCTGCAAAAGCTGTGTGTGCATATAACGCCAAAACAAAAATCATGCATGCTTACTTGATTCGGCAACTGCCAAAATATGTATGTGGATTTAGTTTAGGACATTGGTTTCTGTCATTGTATTTTTGGGGAGTTTCTACATATTTCACTATTAGCTTGATCGTCACTTAGCGGCGAGACACCACTCTTAGGGGCTACTTTCATTTCACAACTTTATCTATTAGGCTTTGTTTACTAGAGATCTATTTTGTGACTTGTGTCTGTCAAGAAAGCTTTAATCATGTTACTGTTGCTGTAAAAAGACACATTCAGTTGGACCACATCTATATGCACATACATTTACTGTTGCCTACTTTTTACCCTGAACTCTTTTTTATTACAGACAGATTATTTCTATCCTGTATACTTCTTTGTAATGTGCCAACATGCCTGATTTCTGCAATCACGCAGTCTTTCCTTTTTGTTTTCCATTATTTAAGTTCTATACAATACTGTAGGTTGCCAGCTGGACTATTGGAGAAGATAAATAGATTGTTATGCATTACTGTACTATTTTGGAAATATGACTTACCTATATTGATATTGATACTGATGCAAAGATGTTATTAGGGATTGTTTCTGACTGGCTTCCGAAGGATTCGGAGTGTCTTCCATTGTCGAAAGGTATTGCTGGATTTGAAAGAGAATGTGGGATATGTATGAATTCTGTGGAGATGTAAAGAACACATTATATTTATTTGAACAGTACTTTGTAACAATGTCATCTTTTTAAACATTGCCTTTATACATGATTTTCCGGTTTCTGTCAACAAAACACTAGGAGCAGGAATTAAATAATGTAGCATTCATTCAGAATTTGCAATCAAGTTTTTTTTTCCTTTTTGTTTTTAAAAGTATTTAAACTAAAGATTTTGTTTGTTTTTAAAGGTGTATTAAGTGATTTCTGAGAAATGCTGTTGAAAGCGGATCGGACTGAGCGACAAAACACTTGTAGCCAATCAGCAGTAAGGGGAGTATACACTCATTAGTGCCTGTGTTGCACAACTTGTTTGTGAATTTGGGGGCGGAGCTATCAAGACGGGGTGTGTTTGTTTTTGGTGATTTCAAATATCAACAACATTTTTGAGAAATCGCTTACTGCACCTTTAAGCATATATGCACTGCTTCCTAATGACAGAATGTATTCTTCTGAGGGTGTTCATTATCAACAGAACAAAAAATGCAATTGATTCTTTTGCCGGTCCTCCTTCCGTATTTTTTTTTTTTTGTTTACCTTGAAGGAATTTATTGAAGAAAATCAAGATGGAATAAAATCGTATCCAATTAATAAAAGAAGATAACAGCTAAATATGAACTAGGTATTCGCCCTTATTTCATAACATGGTAAACATACCTCTGCAAAAAGCTATCTGCTAATATGCTGAATGGGATAGATCACATCATCTTTGTGGAAACCCTGAATCGTGTGGGATACATGCTCTGGGGTTCAAGAAGAAAAACAGAAATAAAAAGGAGGCTTATTTACTGAGATATTTGTTTGAAAGGTTGCTGCCTGTAATCATCATATGACTGCAAACGTGTGCAAGTACACGTACAGAAATAATCATGAAGCTCCAAAGTGGGCGGGGCATAGAGAATCTGTGATGACGTCAGGATTTGCGGCTGTCATGTTAGGGCGGGAAAATCAGTAAGTTCAGTTTACCTGTTCACCTTATGAGTTGTGATCTCCGTGCTAATAAAGGGCACAGTTTTTTATTGTCAAACATGAGGATTTACATTTTTATTTGTGTTGTTTTCAGTGCATGGAGATGAACGTCACCGCATCTAGCCACTGTAGCCCCGCCTCCTTTGACGTCAGACGCCACAGCAGCTGTTTCCCTGTTTCAGACCCATTTCGATTGGACGATTTTTAAGTGATTTTAGCCAATCACACTCACCCAGGTCAGAACAAATGAACAGGAAGGAAAGATGGCGGCTAGGAACGGAAAGAATGGTCTACTGGAAAAAGTAAGAAACCTTTATTGTATATCGCCTTTTATGAGATTGTATGAGTCTTGAGGGCACAACGTAGTTTATTTTTGTTTTCATATTTCATGTTTCGCACTCGTTATTCGGACGTGGATGTTGATGCGACCATGGCGCTCGTTTGCGTGTCAGGAGATAAAACGTTAACTTGTATATTAAATGAATGCACGCGATTAATGTAACAATGTTATCATGTGTATTGAAAACTGTCGAATGCCGTTTAAATATCTAGATACAGAAAATTACACAGCATTGCACTATGTTGCACACAATATTGTGTTATGCCAAAGTGGTTATGCTCATCATTTCCTTCGCCGTAACGTTAACGTCAGTATGCTTTCATTTGGTTTCCATTTCGGTCCAAATAGACACAACATTTTTTTTACTGTGACTTTCTTGTTAATTGTGATCTGATACTTAATATTTCAAATTGGTGATTTTTCAGACGCTTTGTTAGAAGCTGGTTTACAATATTTTAAATTAAGCATAACTTACTGGATACAAATGCACAAGCTTTAAAATAAAAATCCCATATAAGTTAATATAAATGCTTTAATGCTAACATAGTATCGTTATTCAGAAAATCTATATTGTATGCACGATTATGCAAGTTATATACAATCAGAAATCCCCCAAATACCTGTAGCCCTTTAAAAAAATATATAATTTAAAGATGTTTTAATGTTTTTTAATATTTTCTTTGTCGTTTGTTGCTAAAAGACTTGTTGGTTAATGTGTTCCAACAGTCAGTCAGTCAGTAGTGATGCAGATTTAATTTTCACAAATACACGAAGTTTCTGACGTGGCTGACAGTGATGACTTCATGTTCAGTAATATGCCAGATGATAATTCAGTAGCTGTGGGCTGATTTAGATCCATAACTTGAGGCTTTTTGAGGGATTTATTAAAAGATTAATGCTACACTAGTAGCAACCATATGTTACGGATATGGAGTCCATCCAGTGAAGGCAATGCAATTGAACGATGCAGTCTAATAGATAGATTTTGTAATAGCATTTCATCACATTCAAACTACTAACTTAATATAATATAATCTTATAAAAAGATTTTAAAGATTTTATCTTATAAAAAGTCTTTAAGCTGTCAATTCAGTAGCAGCGCAGACCTATTCATTTAGCTTTAAAGGTGTGCAGTAACTGTACTATGTTTAGTTTGCATACCTATCTTGCACATATGAAAATATTCAATACTCTAGTCTATTTGTCTTGACAGTGTGGCTTGCTAAAATCGTATTGCATGTGTTTCAGTGGAGGATCGATGAAAAGCCAGTGAAGATCGACAAATGGGATGGTGCAGCTGTGAAGAACTCTCTAGATGATGCAGCCAAGAAGGTCTGTTGTATAGAATTAATTTAATTTGACATATTACACACATACTGGTCAAAAGCTTGGGAACATTACTATTTGCAATGTTTTTGAAAGTGTCATTTATTTAAAGCCTGCATTTATTTGATCCCAATAAATAATAATATTGTGAAATATTATTACAATTTAAAATAATGCTGATTTGATAGTCAGGTTATTATCAATGTTGGAAACAGTTTTGAATAAAAGAACAGCGTTTATTAAAAATAGAAATCTCTTCTAACAATATACAACTTGACTATCACTTTTTATCAATTTAACACATCGTTTGCTAAAGAAAAGTATTAATTTCTTTCAAAAAAGAGAGAAAAATATGAATGACCTCTAACTTTTGAACGGTAGTGTATATTGTTAGAAACTATTTCTGCTTCGAATAAATGCTGTTCTTTTTAAACTTTTTATTCATCAAAGAATCCTGAAAAAGGTATCGCAGGTAAAAATATTAAGAAGCACAGCTGTTTTCAACATTGATAATAAATCATCAGGATTATGTGACATTGAAGACTCGAGTAATAATGCTGAATATTCAGCTTTAATCACATGAATCAGTTATATTTTAAAATACATTAAAATAGAAAACCTTTATTTTAAATCGTTATAAAATAAATGCAGCCTTGATGAGCATTTCTTTCAAACGCATTAAAAATAGTAATGCTCCCAAACTTTGACCAGTACTGTTTGTTGAAATGTTAATATAACATTTATAGCATCATTACTCCAGTCGCATGATTTTTTTCAGAAATCTTTCTAATATGCCGATTTGCTGCTCAAGAAACGTTTCTTATTATCTAATTAATACTTTTATTCAGCTAAGATGCATTGGAAGTGACCGTAAATGTTACAAATAAATAAATGCTGTTCCTTAGAACTTTCTATTCATCAAAAAATCCAGAGAAATTGTATAACGTTTTCTAATATATATATATTAAGCAGCAAAACTGTTTTTAAATTGATGATATAAAAAATAGCTGAGCTGTAAATCATATCAGAATGATTCTGAAGATAGATATGACACTGAATAAATTACATTTTAAAATAATTAATTTATAACAAAGGTAATATATTGTTAATAGTAATACTATTTCACAATAGTAATTTTTACTGTATTTTTTAAATCAAATAAATGCAGCCTTGGTGAGCAGAAGAAACTTCTTTCATTAAAAAAATCGTAATTGTTCCAAACATTTGACTGATTATGTGACCTATTTATGTGGTTTGAGAGATTTATGTGCATACTTTGTTTTATACTGGTTATGTCCATTAGATGAGTTCTTAAATCATCTACTCTTCTTTCTTCCCCCCCCCCCCCCCCCCCCCATAGGTTCTGATTGAAAAATATGGCTACGTTGAGAACTTCAACCTAGTGGATGGACGTCTGTTCATTTGCACGATCTCCTGCCTTTTCGCCATTGTAGCTTTAATTTGGGATTACCTCCACCCGTTCCCAGAGTCCAAGCCCGTACTGGCGTGTTGTGTTGTTTCATATCCTTCATTGAGCAAACTCGAAACACAATAGTTTTGTGCTGGAGGTTTGACAATGTAAATTAATGTAAATTTTTGCACTGCTTCAGTTCTTGTCCTTAACAGATCGACACATACTTCATAATGATGGGGATTTTGACCCTGTACACCTCTTACAAAGAGAGGAACATCTTCCTTGTGGCCTTGCAGAAGGACCCAGCTGGGATGGACCCTGATCACAATTGGCAGCTGTCCTCTAGCCTAAAAAGGTGATTATTTTTCTTCTATTAGTGGTGATCAAACAAACCCTTACCATAAAGACCCCCACATACGTTCTTTAAAAGAAGTTTGAAAAGCATGACCAGCGATGTAGCGACGCGGCCCACACTGCTGAGAGAGGCTTTTAGATGAAGATTTATATATGTTCTGTGTTCTGTCCCCAAAAAGACACGCAACATGGATGATAGAGGTGAGAAAGCATCTGATCATAGCGATATGGATGTTTCTGCATTTCAGCAGTCAAGTCACGTTTATTTATACAGCACAGATTTACAGTATTAAACAGGAAAAATAATTCGAACTTTCATTTAGAATTACAAGCTCATTTGTTCATGTTTTCACTCGTGGGCGTCTGACCTTGATGGACCAAACAGAAGAAACGATTTCCACGTCAAAGAAGGCGGAGCCTCAGAGCCACGCCCACCCATTATGTCATCCCCACGGACCAATGATAGTTTGAAGGCGTTTACCAGCCGGAGCGAAATCCAAGAATGAACTGGTGATGTAATTTCGGAACAAAATCAGGCCAAAACTAAGTTTGTTGGTTCGAAACTGCTTGCCAAACTCCAAACAAACTTAGTTTTGGCCTGATTTTGTTCCGAAATAACTAGGGATGCACGATGATATCGGGACAACAATGGCCGATAAAAGCTTAAAATGACCATCATCGGCATCGGCCGATATGAATATTTCTGCCGTTTCCTATGCGCACGTGACGACTGCGACCGAAGCATGAGTGCCAGCAACTTAAACTTCCAACTGGGGTGTGCGTCTCACGCGGTCTTTGATCGTGGACGATTAAAATGTCTCCACGATTTGCTTTTGAAGAAAAATCATAGTATCGTGCATTCTATCAGTTCAATTCTGGCGCCTTCATCTCAACATACTGTACAACGCGACGTACATTCACATCACATCACGTGTAAACGCAGAGGTAGAGTTACACCCACGGGACACCGCAATTCACAAAAGTTCATTATTTGCACGTGCATGAAAGTCTTGCTAGGTAAACATATCATTCACGTGCTGATGCGCTGTTCTAACATCCACTTTTCTGAGCGCGTTACACCCGACGCTCACAGGAACTAAAAGCCTGTCACAGAGTCTGCATACTGGACTAAGTTATCTTTTGAGTCTTATTGCACTGATACTGTGAAATACACACAAGGTTTACATAAAGTTGGTAATGTCTAAAGTGAAAGCAAACAGAGAAAATCTGCTTGTCAAATGCGTGTATATTAGACGCGTCGCGTGCAGTTCTTAAAGAGACAGTATAATATGCTGCCGCTTGTCCTTAAAGAGACACTGCACCCAGAAATAAAAATTCTGTCATTATTTACTCACTCTAATGTTGTTCTAAACCTGTAATCATTTCTTTCTTGTGCTTAAATATACTATGGAAGTCACTGAAGTACAGCAACTGTTTGGTTAGCCACATTCTTCCAAATAACTTTTTTCAACTAGGGCTGTCAGTTAAACGCGTTATTAACGGCGTTAACGCAAACCCATTTTAACGGCGTTCATTTTTTTATCGCGCGATTAACGGTCTTTTTGGCCTAGCAAACTTTGTAGTTTTTTTTCACATGCTTTTGCAACAGGACGTAGCACGTCCAGTCTGAAACACCACTTCAGCACACACACACACACACACACACAGCGCTGATGCGAATTCTCCGCCCCCTCGTCAATATCAGGACCTCGTCAGTATTTCTTCCACCCTTTTATTGATGGACAGTGTTACATTGTGTGAGAGATTATTTGCTCCAAGTGAGAATGTTAGTGTGAAATTGAACACAGTATTGTCAATATTGTTTTCAATTAAAAAACATTTGCACAAAGCAAGCCGGTCCACTTTTCCATGTTGATAAGAACATTAAAATGAATAAAAATAATGGGACAAAAAGAAATCAAGAGACATTTAGAATAGATAAAAAATGTGCGATTAATCGCGAGTTAACTATGACATTAATGCGATTAATCGCGATTAAATATTTTAATCGTTTGACAGCACTATTTTCAACAGAAGAAAGAAATGTATTTGGGTTTAAAACGACTTGAGAGTAAATGATGACAATTTTGGGAGAACTATCCCTTTAATGTTAATAAAACAACAAAACACAAAGAGGAAATCACTCACTGCTCTTGACTGAGAACTTTAATAGAAGCTTCAATAAGCTTTTTTTGCACTTATATATCGGTATATAAAAATACAAATATATCGGTATCGGGCAAAATTAGTTTGAAAATATCGGCATATCGAATATCGGCCAAAATCCAATATCGTGCATCCCTAGAAATAACGTCACACCAGTTCTTTCTTGGATTTCGTTTAAAGTATATCGGGGTCTTAAATGTTAAACATCAGTGCAGTGCAGAACACCCTAGCTACTAGTGCTGGGCTGAAAGCTAGATTTCTTGATTATCTAATTTTTTTCTCTTCATTTTGATAAACCAATATAGATTAAGCAATATTTTAGTCCAGTGCTTCTCAAAAATGTCCTGGGAACCCTACAGTCTTGCGTTTATCACCAAATTCAAGTCTTGCTTAAGGGTTGAATCGGGTTTGCTAGATGAGGGAGACATGCAACATGCGCTGTGGTCGGGGGTCACCAGGACAGGTTTGAGAAGCACTGTTTTAGGGCTCGTTTACACCTGCTCACTTCATGCGTTTTCTCTGATCGGACTGCTATCCGATTGTAAGAAGTGAATTTGAAATTTGTGTTGAAGCTCCACCCTATTAGCAATGCCATTCCTCAGGGAAAAAAGTTTGATACTGTGGTTTACTATAGTACTAAATGGCTTGTGTCCATTAGGTTTGATGACCAGTATACGTTACGAGTGTCCTTCACTGACGGGAAAACCAAGCTGTTCAGGGAGACGGAGTTTACAAAGTCGGTCGGGGTGTTCTTCGACGAGAACGGGACGCTGGTGATGGACCAATTTGAAAAATATGTCTCAAAGCTTCACGACACATTGGCCACAGAGAAGAAGACAAAGTAACGGTTAGTCGAAACTGACGGCGCAGGCCTTCAGCGACCCGGCGCACGCAGTAACGGTGGCTATAGTGGGACAAAACACAGATGTTATTCAGGCTAGCGAGTGTTATCACAGTTTAGCTCTCGGCTCTAACATTACATAAGGTCAGCAGTGGGTTTTTTAGTGCTAAAAGATTGTCCGATTTTCTTTTTTGTGAGCCATGTTTTGTTTTTTAAATGCAAGTTCAATTTATACTGGTGTCTCAGTTTAGTGCTCTTTATTAGAAACAAAAAAGCCAGGCATTTCTACCATATGCATAGATAAGGAAAACAGTGTTCTTCAATATCAATGTATTTAAACACTCTTTAAAGAGTTCACATGAATTTAATTTTCTTTGGTAATCGGAAGCAGTTCACATTAGGGTTTAAATGATGAAAGAATATTTATATTTTCATAAAACAAAATGAGTCCCTCCTTCCCTCAGGAGTGTTTTCGGATCAGAGGTGATCTACATTAGTGCTCCACATTTCACGACGCCTTGTGAAGCGTTGAGGATCTGAATCAAGCAGATTTTTGTACATCTGAGTGCCAGTGTATATATAGAGCCTTATTAAATGTCTGTTCAATCTGGATATATTTTTTTTTTCTCCACATTCTGAATTGTATCCGTTTAGGCTTTAAAGGACAACGGAAAGCAAAGAAATGAACTGTCCATCTGTCGTGCTGTCCCCCTACCGCTTAGATACTTTTGTGTTTGGCCATTTATGCTTGAACCAGGGATAACCGTTTTATGTTCCTTTTTTTTGTGTGTGTGCGCGTGTGTGAGCATCGGATCAGTCCTGACCTGTTTTTCACACTCGGGAGTAAATTGACCTGCATTTCCTGGTTTTCTGTCAACAGCCATTTTCATATAGATTATTTTAATTTATTTTGAAAAGTTTAATTAGAACCGTACATCTGGTTGCAGTTTGTTTCTCCATATTGTGAAATATTAGGCCTGCTGAAATCCACGGGGACTTCTCAACGGTTTTTGTCTAATGATATTCAGCTTTAGCCCATATTGTATGTGCCTGTTATTCTCAAACAAAACAAAAAAATGACTAAATAAAGTAAGGCATTTTTACATTTGTGTTTTGCTGTCATTATTTGTTTGATGCTTTTGTGATTGACACTCATTTTCTAATTAGGGTTCGTTTTCTGATCAAGCGTTTCTGCAAAGGACCGATCATTTACATGACAAGCATATTCCAACCGGTGCAACATTTAGTTTAAGCCAGTATAATTAGATTGCTATTTTTATTTTTCATATTTTTTATATCCACTGTAACATAATATAGTAAATATTCCAACAAAAAAGTTCTTCAGTTTCTTGAATTTTCACAACCATCTTTGTCTTGTTTCACCTAAAACTACGTTCAGATGTGTGTGCAGGATGTTTGGTTACATAATGTTGTGTTTACATAACCCTGAATTCCAGTTAATACTAGCATGTGCCAGATACGTTTTCTATAGAAACCATAATATTGTCTTCCTTGTGTACGTGCATATGGAATTGGAATAAAGGACCATGTTCCAATCAAATCTAAATGGAGTCATTCACTTCAAAATATGGTCATTGTGTCAAAGCAACCAAATTTCAGAAACTTTCTCAGCTAAAATTTTATATTTTTAGAAAGACAAAGATAAATAGTGGGGCCACACAGAAATTCCCATATCTTTGGGAATTGTGGGTCTTAAAAATGAAGATACCAAAAAGTTTTTGGTAAGAACCAAAATCGAAAATGATAAGGATATCTTTAATACTTCTTGAGTTCCAGATATGCAAACTTGAAGGGGAAACATAGTGCTTTTTTCCCATTTTTGAACTGTCGTTATTGGCATATATAATGTATCCGATTGCTAAAGTCAATAGATTTGACTAATGTACCAAAAATAATAGTTATATAAAAGTTATTTCCCCCTCCTGTAATTTGTCAAATTTGTCATTTTGGCCCCCTTTACAAAATAATGGGTTTCACAGTAAATATTCATTCATGGCATTTAATATTTTGGCTTCATTTATGTATTTCTTTCACCAAAAAAGCAAAATCAAACCAACCAAACAACTGGTTGAGTTGACATGGAATGCACTTCTCCAATCACTTAAACCCCTTTACTCCCAGTCGACATGTTGCTTTGCCTCCATCCAGTCAACAATCTATAACCCCGTCCTTTATTTTTTTATCTGTGTGTCACTGACAAAAGATCTGTCGCTAATGCATTGCATCTTTAAAATCAACTGTGAGGTTTGCATGTTAAGTCATTTGCATTTACCACATGCAACTATTGTGGATGAGATGCCACAAATAACACTTGGTCACTTTTATCCTTTCAAAGCGCGTCTGTGGCCTAGACATTATTGTGAAGGCCAGAGCCTGTGTAAACACATCTGTGGGGGTTTGTCCCATTGTGCCAACTTGCATATGCACATTGATGGAATGACTCACATTTGGCTCCGTCCAATAAAGTGTTCATGCGCGTGCCTCTACCAACTCGTGAAAACACTGCAAACAATGCATTGTGGTAGTAGATAACACTCCTCCTTTTGAACTGTGGACATTTTAAATCTGAATAGGGCTGATTTCAAAGTCTGACACATTTACATAAAACAAATCCCTTTTTTAAATCAAATCGTCAGGAAAACAGTTTGGTTTCGAGAGGCGGAAGTCGTGTAAATTTAACATTCACTCTTAAAAATAAAGGTGCCGAAAAGAGACTTTTGAACCATTTTGTTCCATTGAAGAAACTTTCAGTGAACCGATCTTAACTTAACCTTAACCGCCGGCGGGCCCATTTGCCATTGCATATTTAAAACAATAATATCTTAGTAAAAACCTAAAGTAATATTGCCAAACTATATATCATTTGAAAGCTTAAAATCTCTAGTTTTCATATTTGGTGGCTGTTATCTAAAATAAATTACAGAGGAGCAGTAATTTATCAATTTGCAACAAGAACATTTCATATTCATTAGGAGTATTTAGGCCTTTATTTTGAAATAACAATAAACACGAAAAATCATGAAAGATTGGTAGAAACCTCCGTTTGTTTTCATGCCATGAGTTCAAAAGATAACACCAATTCCATTTTATGTGAAAAAAAAGGTCTGAAAATGTTTTAAATATAAAGAAATGTATGGATTCTCGATTTGTGATGCGGCTGCGAGCTATAACGTAGTGTTTTTATGCATTTATTAGAGGTTGAATTCAAATCAAAGTTAACTGGTTAAAAGAACCGTTGTTTTCTTCATATGAAGAGCTTTTTAATAATCTAAAGAAACTTTTTTTTTCCACGATAAAGAACCTTTTGTGGAATGGAAAGGTTCCATGGAACAATGTATGGCAATAAAGAACCTTTCTTTTTAACAGTGTATCATCATATAACACAAGGGGTTGACCTGCCTCGTGTATAATAAATAAATGTTATTATACATCGATCCTGTAAGTGTAAAACTGTCAAAAATATGCATCTTCAATTGGACGGATCACTGACGTTCTGAAAAAAAACGTATAGAGACCTGTTTTTTTTTTTTTTACGATTGATTTTATTCAGTTGAAAAACCATTAAGTACACACAAAGTACAGCAATCCAGCTGTTTCATGACCGAACTGTTGAAGGACGTCAAACTTATATTTCTCCTCTATGTATTGAAGGGATTGGTATGAGATATGTGGGTCAGTGAACTCTTGCTGGTCATGTTGCGGAGACCAAAGCTGAGCTGCTTTCACTCCACTAATCCAGTTAGAGCAAATAACAAACAAATATAAAGGGACCAGTCGAATAATAAACACAGGGGCCATCTGAATATAGATTTTTGAGTACATATTGGCTGATCCTTTTGACAAACAAAATGTGGATATATATCTTTAGGTGTAAGTTTTGCTGATTTCTTGCTCCGTTTTATTTCAGGTGATGGTTTTAGTGAGAATGAGAGAGAATAATGCAAACTGTTGGTTACATTTTTGCAGCATAAATCGTTCTTGAGGTGTGGTCACATTTACTGTTGCTCGGTGAAATTCCGTGGGCGAAGTCCGACAAGAACCGCGCGGATTCCAGCGAAAGAATCAGCGCGATCGTGAGTTGTTGTTTTTTTACGCGAGGGCGAACATTTTCCCCGCCCAGATTTTGCTTGTTTTCAAGTTGGTCATGCAAATTTGCTGACCAACAGAAAGGTTTGAATGTTACTTCTGTGCGAGCTGTGCTTCATACATCTCTACGCTATTGGCAACATTGCACACGGAATTTCACCAATATGGCCGCGCCTTTATCGTCCGTAAATCAACACAGCGTTTCTTATATTCTGTGAAAGAGGAGGTTCCGCATCCAGTCTTGATAAACAGGAGCTTCTTCAGAAAGGTTAAAAACGCAAAGCACAGCACCTAGAAATTGAGAATAAAAATATTTGGTTAGAATATATATTTGTGTTGCTTTTTTTGGGGGCAGAAATATTTCAGGTTACTAGTTAAAATAAAAAAAAGCATCACCAGATAAAATACGGCATTGACAGGTATGCACTTACCAACCTGATCTGACGGGAAAACATATACTTGAGATTATTTGAAAAAAAGCATGAAGCTCCACCCTTAACCCAACCCAGGCCTAACCTTTACTGGGGCGTAAGCAGATCGTATGAAAATGCAACGCTATCTCACTCGTACGAATTTGTACGATTTGTCTAAACCCACGTGATGGGTAGGTTTAGGGGCGGGGTCAGGGGTAGGTCATTCGTACGAATTCATACGAATTTGGTAACTCGTAAAATATGTAGGAATTAGCAAAAATCGTATGAATTAGTACGAATTAGCCACCTCGCAAAATTCGTACGAATTGCCGTGAGATCGGGCTGGAAAATGCATGAATAAGATTGGACGGATTCATACTTAGTAAGGCCCGTTCACACAAAGAACGATAACTATTAAGCGAAATTAGTGTCCGCACCAGCGAACGATAACGCTGTTTATTACAAGCGCATGCTGCAGGTTTCGTTGACTGCTGCTTTAATTGCTCGAGCTCTTAAAAGCAGGGTGGATTCTGATTGGCTGTCAATGTTTTTATCGTTCATCAGCTGGAAAAAAAAATAGATCAGAAAACGACTCCAACGATTTCATTCCTCTGTGCCGTTATAGTTGTGGTGTGAATTTCTGCTATTCTTTCACATTTAGAACGGTTTTCAGAACTATCTTTATCATTATCTCAATGCTAAGTGGATACTTACAAATTGTAGTCGGTTACTGATTCCAAATTACATGACAAAAAGTGTAGTTAGCAACGTAATCCATTAGGCCTACATGACACTTTTAAAATAATGTAATCTAACTACTTTTAGATTACTTTTGACCTAATTCGTTTATCACATTCATTTGAATAGTATAATCTTGTACCATATTTATATAAAAATACAAAGAGAACAAACTTAATTTTATCATCCATTATTATTATTGACTTAATTTTATTATTAACTTCGAATCTCAGGGGATAATTCAAGTAAATATATTAGGTCAAAGAAGTTCACCTGACAAAAAAAGTTGGGGAATCCCTGCATTGCGTGTAAATATGAAATGACGTGAATTTGTGCATTTTAACGTGTTTGAAAGACAAAAGTAAAGCCTTCCAAAATTAATACGTGGTTAAATAACTCAACGAGGGGTAATTCAAATTAATAATTTTCCGCCATTGTGAGAATAATGTGTAACAGTGTAATCAATAGTCGGATTACGAGTATTTTACAACCTAATAAAATTACAAGTACTTCATTTTTGAATCTGATTATGTAATGCAGATTTCATGTAATTAGTTAATGCCCAGCACTGATTGTCGTTATAGTGACCATCCTTGGTGTGAACGGGCCTTCACTTCGCCAAAACGTAAACGAATTGTGTTGGCATTTACAATGGAAGTCTATGGGGCAAGTATACAGTATTTATCGTCCCATAGACTTCCATTGTAAGTGAATATTCGCAAATATTTTGTTGTTGTTGTTGTAATTCACATCTACATCTACAAAAACTATAAAAAATCAAACACAATTGAATATATGCAGAACATCCCAGTACCTGTATCTCCGAGGGCAACCACGATAACCAATCATGTACTCCTGCGCATAGCAGTGCTTCCTGCACAGCCCTCGATATCCACAGGTCCATCCCTGCACCTCTGTGTCATTGGCTGTCGGGAGAAGATCGCTCAGTACAGAAACAACTATCCACACTTGTCATAACTGTTGTCATGCAATTAGTAAATAATGCTATTAATCTGCCAATGCACATCAGCATTGTTAATACCAGCAATAATACCCACAGATCCAGACCTGTTGTTATGTTGCATATGTAAAAGTAAAAGTACCTTGACTCGCTGTCAGCAGCAGCAGAGTTATTATGACCAGCCCCAGCGCCCTCATGTTGCAGCATCTCCGTCTCTCCGGCTGGCCACTCACATTTATATGGGACAGCAGGGGCGGGACTAGTCCAGTTAATAACACACTTTTCATTCCTTTATCTGTGCATCAGTTGTGAGATTATGTCTTTATTTATTTATTTTCTTTCTAATCCCAGCAACATTTTAAAAAAGTAATTTACCCACCACAGCGAAGAGCTTGTCTGCAGTTTCATAACTTGTTATGCCCAGCATGCAAAGAAAGGAATGAATACATTTGGATCAATTATAAGGACCGATTTGATTAGTAATCTGATCCTTAAGGGTTTATTGGTGTTGTTCAAATGTTTAACATTTGAAAAAGTGTGAAAAATGTGCCCATAAAGTATAACAGGCTTGTTATATAATGCATTGGAATTTAATGATGTAATGTTGCATTGTAGCTGCGGGTGTTTTCTTTCAGCGCTACAGTAGTGGCCAAAAGTGACGTCGCAAATATTATTACAAATTTGTTAAAGCATGCATGACAGCGTATTAGTTTGCTTGGAGTCAATTGTTTTATCTGTGATATGAAACATGACTAATTGTGCCGACATATTTTTTTGGCCAGGCTATCATACAAAAAAAAAAAAAATAATAAAAAAAATATATATATATATATTTTTATAAATATTAATAACTGATTTTGTTGTAATCAGCGTATGATTTTTTGCATACTAATATAAAACCTGTATTTTTTTTTTTTTTTGTCAAATCATTTTGTCAGATAAATACCTTGACCAAGTTCAGTGTTTGGTTCTTCCCTCACATTTAAAGAATTATAAAATATGTTCTTCATATTTTGATGGTTTTATCAAACTTCTAGGGTCATTAAAAACTAATAACCCCTCCAGACATCACTTTTGAGTTGTTACTCTGTAATTGTTTCAGGAAATATTGGTAACACTTTATTTTACAGGGTCTTTGTTACACGTTACATGTAGTTACTACAGTAATAACTATAAATTATGCATAATTACATGTAACTAATCCAAAGCAAACCAAATACATTTAATTAATATAACTAAGTACTTAAATGTATAATTATAACAGGACAACTTAAAATAAAGTGTAACCAAAATTTGACCTATTTCAATTTAAATATTACATACGTTACAGGTATAACATAGGATTTTAAGGATGTATGCAAGATTTGATATGAAGTTTAATTGTTCTTTTGTTTTTATTTGATGGCTCTGTATAATTTTATATAATGCTTTATAAATTATTTTTATTGTATGTTTATTAATGTTTTACATTGCAACTCGAAATATATGTCTTTCATTGTTTCTTTCTACCTACTAATTATACATTTTGCTTAGTTTTGCGTAAGTTATGGGTCATTTTCCCTTTACTGTACACTAAGGGGGCGTGTACACCATAGATATTGTAGAGGCCACATTTGACCGCTCCAGAGTCCAGGCATGTTGGCATATATCTATGATTTACATGACAGTTTTCAACTCATGGGTAAAAAACAGAAACGGTTTTCCTCTTCGTTTTTTTTTTTTTTTTTGTACAGACGACAACGTTGTCAAAAGGATCTGCGAAAACGACTAAAAACACTGTATTCTGCTGCCAGGCCAGTAGTTGGCGATGTCACTTTGTAAAGAAACACTGTGTAGACTGAACACGCATGTGGATGACATCACCATTTTCACAAATTTGCATTTTTTATTTTATAAAAACAGTATTGGAGATGATAACAGTAGCCTATCATTTTTAGAAAATTGCACTTTGAAACCAGTTTTCAAAAGTCTGTGTTTTCAGGCCCCAAAAACGCTGTTGTCGTGTAAATGAACGGCCAAAACGCATAGAGAGTGTTCCTTAAAGGGGTCATATAATGCCATTTTTGTACAAGCTAGTATGATTCTTTAGGGTCTAAATTAAAAGTTTGTAATATACTTTAATTAAAAATTCTCATTAGTATTGTAAGAAAACACTTATTTTACTTGGTCAAAAACAGCTCTGTTTTCAGCACGCCGTTTCAGTGCATATGACTTTAAATGATAATGAGCTTTGCTGACTCCGCCTCTCTGTTCTGTGTGTACACCGTTTGTAACACAATAACCATAACGCGTTGTTCAGTATAAACGTGGGATTATTAATTATATTGAGAACGTCGTACATAGAAAACATGTCGTAATGTACCCTGACTGAGTGTAAACCTTAGACGCATTCATTGTGAAGCGTGCAGCTAGCGATTTGCAAAGATTAATATAAATATTAATATAAAGTTTAATAAAATGTTACACTCACTTCAGTTCTTCTGGAGGTTCTGCAGGAACACGAATAGCTGGTACCGATCCTTTATTCATGAGCAGCTTCTTAGCAAATCCAGCTTTATACTGATCCTCCTTTATAAAGCAGTCTGGTGTGTGAAATGATTCGCGCAAACATGAGAGCATTGACGTTGCTCGTGGGGAATATTCCCTTCGAAAACAAACTCAGCCACTGCGTCTTCAGCGGTTCGGATTTAGGAACATTAAAATGACTGCTGTGTTCATTATTACACCCAAGAACAGAACACCACAATCGCTTAGACGCCATTCTGCTCATAGACAGTGCTCCAGCATATCAACAATGACCGCGCCGGTCCGCGCAGACTATGATTGACAGCTCTCACGAGCGAGGGCGGGTCTGTGTTGAAACGCTGCTGTCAATCAACAATCGTGGGAGGGGCTTCCGACCGTGTGACATCACACGGTCGAACGGCTCGATTTGAGGCAGGGGAAAACATATAAGGAGATTAAAACAAAAACACTGGATGGATTTTTATCATTATATGATGGTTGTGTACAGGCACTGCCAACACATTTCAGTACAATCAACTTGTAAAAGTGCATGTACCATTATATGACCCCTTTAAATCTTTGCAAAGTGACATCGCCAACAACTTGCCTGGGATGCATAATACGCCATTTTACGCTAAGACCTGATCAGAATCAATGCCGATAGAAATATTATTGTTAAATTAAAAATAGTCTAGCTATGAGTGACCTCATTTAACACTCATTATGTGTATCTCAGCAGTTGAAACTCATTGGAAAACAGGTAGTTGGAAAAACAGGTAGTTGTGCAACTGTGTACGGCCAGAAACGTTGTCAGCAGAAATCTACTATTCAGGACCCACATCAGCGGCAATAGCAGCTCACATGCAGGACCTTGTGACCAGGACCCTTTCTCTCTACACATACACAACCCATTCACACACACACTGGGTTCAAAACTGGTGGGTAAAGAACCATACCCAACTGAACAGGCTTTTTTTTTTTTTTTTTTATACTTAAAATGAAATGGGCATAAAACGATGATGATGATGATGTCTGTTCACTTCTCTCTCTTTTTCAGTGAGAAGCCACCAGAGGGTGTAAATGTGCCTTAAACCTGTTTGTGCATGCTGCATTGGTAGAATGAAAAGTTGAACAATTGAGATATATATATATATATATATATATATATATATATATATTATATTTATATATACCGGTATATAATGTAATATACTATATCATATAATATACTATATATATACTAAATATTATAGCTTACTGACTATATACATACTAAATATTATAGGTTACTAACTATATTGATTACGTTCTAATAGCGTCCGTTTGCGTCTCAACGACGTTTATTGAAAGCTGTCCGCTTTTTAAAACGCACCTCGAGACCTCTCCGATATTTTCCCGTGTCGTACGTGTGTTCCCTTTCATCGCAAAAACGCGTCCCGTGTGTGTGTCCTGTCCTGTGTGTGTGTGTGTGTGTGTGTGTCCTGCCCGCACGGTTGTAGTGACGTCACCAGCTGAACACCGCGCGCAGGTGCTGCTCGTGTAAACAATAACATCGCGAGGAGGAAGACTCGGAGGAGCTGCTGAGGAGGACCAAACAAATGCAAGATCTCACTGCATTGGCCAGAAGCGGATTTAGTCGCTGCACATTTTAGAGGAATGGCATGTCTTATGGCTGCCTTTTCAGTCAACAATACTGCAGTGACCAACTCCATCATAATGGTAAGACTGTTTTATCTCATTGATATCTAGTTATCTATCTATAGGTATGCATGCATATGTGTGTGTGTGTGTGTGTGTGTGTGTGTATACATACATATATGTAGAAATGTATGAATTTTTAATTTGACCATTTAATACTTAACACATTTAGCTGCAAAAAATAAACTGTATGTTTAAAACATGCTTGATTGATGTGTATATCCCGAGTGAACCCGAGTAACCCTCACTGACTCCGGGCACAGATCTGTCAGATCTTCACATGACTGTCACAGACTGCATAACATTGTTGTTGCAAAGATGTTTCTAATGCATGATCAGTTGCTAAATATATCTAAATATAAATATAAAAAAACGTAATGCCAGCACTAATTTGATAAATTCTTAAAATTTCATATGTGATGATGATGGTTTAATATCCTTTTATATTACATCATACAGTTTTAATATGGAGGAACACATTACTGCATTAAACTCACATTTAGCCATCACCGTTTTATTTATTTTTCTCCGAGCTTAGAATAAGCTTTGTCCGATAGTAACCTCATCTGCCTTGTGTAGAGAGAGAGAGAGAGAGAGAGAGATTAGGTTGTCTCTCTTTATATTCCGCGTGCATTTCTGATGAACTTTTATTTTATGTTATGTATACTATACCTATATATGTTATATGTGGTGTTGATGCTTATTGCTTATTATTCTTAATACAAAAATATATATATATATACTGTCAGTACAGTGTTGGCATTAGAGAGCAATAACATGGTCATTCGATACCAGGGTACTCCGATGTACTTACTTTGAAATATACCATGAATATATCATTGTTTACAAGAGACATTGCTATTTTGCTATAGAGCAACAAATCTAGGGTGTGTGTGTGTGTGTTCCTGGTATTCCCTATGTTATGGGGACCACAAGTATAGTAATACCAGTAAATTTTGATCTTGTGGAAACAAATTTTTTTTGATCCCCATGAGGAAACGAGCTTAAAAATCATACTAAGCAATGTTTTTTGTGTGATGGGTAGATTTAGGGGTAGGGTTAGTGTAATGGGAGAGAATATACAGTTTGTACAGTATACAAATCATTACATCTATGTCCCCATAAAACATGGAAACCCAACATGTGAGTGTTAATAGAGTCTTCTTACACTCGTTCATTTTATCCTTGATGACTTTTGAACATCGGAAATTTGTCAGCAGAGATTTTGAGTCCTGAGGGCAAAATCCTCATGTCTTTTCCCTCAAGGCTGCAGTGTATTACATAAGCGTTCTCTCTCTCCATCCTCAGAATACCAACGGACCTCCGGATCTCATGCTAGACCCTAGAACCGTGTGTGTGTCCATTGATGAAATGATATCCAAGCCTGTCGGCAGTCAGCAAACACCACTGTTGCACGGACACCTGAAAAAAGTTGAGAACAATCTGACCGAGGCCCAGCGATTTTCATATCTCCCCCGCAGACCCGCAGTCAACATCGAATTCAAAGATCTCTCGTATTCGGTTCCTGAAGGACCATGGTGGAGGAAAAAAGGTAATGTTTGGCCCTCAAGCCTCGTAGCACTTTAAATGTCATTTAAAGGTAAGGTTGTGATTTACCATACACTTTATTGTGTTGAATAACTAAAGTACAAAAGTAAATTATGTTATCCATTTCACGGAATACCTTTTAGTAAATATGAATTTGCAACTTCATCATTACAAGTGTGACACATGACTTACGAGTCTCAAAAGAAATGATGATACAGTATGTTTTAATTGACCAAAAGCACGATAAAGTTTAGGTAACTGCAATTTAAACTTTGCATAAACTAATACATTTCCATTTAATTACAATTAACATGCAATTAAGTGTCTGAAAACTCACATTCAGTTTGTATAATCTTTTAAAATATTATTATTTCTTTAATAGGTGCTCTTTTTATGTATGCTAAGGTTCTTTTTCACAACCATAGGGACTCACATATTGTGCACTCTATTAAATATTTCATTGTAGAAATAAACAAAAAATGCTACAAAGTGAAATCTTTCGTAGGATAGTGGGAATATTAATACTTGTTTAATCTGATTTGCACAAATGTATGTCTATAATATGTTTTAAAAGCATACTACAAACTAATTTGAATGAAAAGTCAACTAATCTTGCTGTATGTGTTAATTTAATTTACTGCAAGGGTTTCTATTGGAAATGTTCTGGGAATTGGATTGATTTCACGGGGAATGGTTTGTTTTGGATACAGCTTGGCAAGGCAGTGCAAATGAATTGTCTAGTGATATGGAGAGTGTAGGATGTTGAATGGATTAGCCAAGAGTGGTTTTAGGCTTTGTTTTTAAGTTATTTTTTCAAAAATGTCCTTTTAGGTGGATGTTATCCTGAGAATGTCTGAGGAAGTTATCCTCTGAAGTGAATTCATTAATTAAGCACTACGGTTGACATAACAGCCCAGCTGTCTGCTTTGCTCTTTTATTTTATTTTTACATTCACCTTAAAAGTTTTTTTTTTTTTGATGGACAGTGATGTCTTCATTAGGCTCACCATCTGGACATCTTTGTTGATCATTCCAATCGACCAATCAGATTTGAGGAACAAGTTTACAGTTTATGTCAAGTTTAGGCTTACAACCAGGGTTATGTGCTTCTACATCAGTGTTATTCACCTATCATTTCCCTCTGGTTTTAGGGATAAGTTATGGGTAGGGTTAGATTTAGGGTTAGGGATATGTCAACACAATATGTTGACCCAGGAACGCATATAACGGTGACCCAAGCCAGAACAGACGGCAGAGTTTTTTCATCCTACAATCTGTTTTTTTTTTACTACTTTTTTGTTTTGTTTTTTTGTCACTTGTCTGGTTGTATTTTTCACATATTTCCCCTACAGCTCAGAAGTATTTTTGGATGTGCTCATTTGCTGCTCAGTGTTACCCAGCCCGTCTGCTAAGAAGAATGAATAGCTTACCCATTGGCCCTAATGCTGTTTGCAGATATAAAGGAGTTTTTCCTGTCACAAATCTTTCTCAGAGCAATATTTCGCTTGCGTATCATACTGTTCATAACATTGCCAATGCTCGTTTTTCTGTTTTTTGCTTACTCTACTTTAACTATCACTACTTAAAGTGATCTTATATATCTATTTGCATCTGATATAGCGAGACGAGAGACTGCAATGCTTTCTTGTATTTGATAAAATATCAAATAAAATATAAAAATCATAAAATAAAATAAGTATATACACTAACTCCTCCCACTATTACAAAATTGATTATAGGATCGTGGTGTGGATAGTTAGGCGGATGGCGTTAGCTTTTGACATGACCGAATCCGCCTTTTTCTGAACTCATCCTCCCTTTTCCCTTTTCCAATCGCATATCAGCTCAGAGAGGCGTTTACTGTATCTTAAATTAAAATTAAGATAAAAAAAGTTGACAAAAGCGTCAAACAGTGGGAGTGAAGTGTTTATCTGGTAGGGTCAGGGGAGTGCTTTAGGGACAAGGACACATAATGTCCCAATATGGCAGCATCCATTTATGATTTTAATAAATATTATCAGATACACTGTATATGTTGTTTTCATTGCATACTGTTCAATAATATACTGCAATAGTCTGAGGTGCAATATAGTATCTTCCACTATTTATTTATAGCATCTAACCGCTATTTATACTTAGTGCAAAGAAAATACTGATATTTTAACAATAATGTAAATAGCATCTATCGCTATTTACACTTAGTGTAAATAGGATTTAACTCTATTTGCACCTAGGCCATATTAACATCGCAGGTCTTGATGCCCAATTCCGATTTGTTGACTATATCCGATTTTTTTTTTTTGATGACCAGCTTACATTTTCTTTTAAAAGTGGCCCATTTCCGGTATTTGCATCTACAGTATACACTTGGTGAAACAACACAAGGTAGACATATTGACCCGGAAAAGCCTGGGCCGAAAAGGAAGTAAAAACGGCATGATTTGCAATGGACGCAGATGAAATGATAATATAAGTTTTGCTTTCCGCACCATCTCTAAAGGTCAGCAAGACATTGGATTGATGCTTCGTCCTCCATTGCGCCATTGGAAAGAGTCATGTGATCGCGGTTGGTGTCCACCTGACTTGATGTCATTCGCCTCCGTCGCTTTTTCAATGACGTACGACTCGCATTGACGGGGAAATATCCGATCTGTCCGCTTACATGCAGACGCAAATGCATGTATCCTATTCATTTAGATTTATTTCCGCATACGAATGAGATCTGAAACCATTCTGAGAACATCGGAATCCATGTGCTTTTTTCCTGCTTACACATTCATGGGTCACATCCAACCTGTGCCACATGGGAGGAAAAAAGTGGAATTGGGTCACTTGAACCATGTAATGTAAATGCAGCCTTAGGGCCAGATTTACTAAACAGGGCAAATTAGCAAGAGCACCATTTCTAAAACAGCGCCGATGGGAGTGGAAAGGTCAGCGCACGATCTATACTGGACTTTAATGAACACAGACACAGCCGGATCATTTCAGTAATGACCAACGTAACCTACCAGTTAGCGTTTGGTTTCTTTTTTGGCTAATGGCGCAAACAGCAGTAAATTGACGAGCGCAAACCTTTTTTCCGAAGGGTCCCTGGACTCCAGTTCGAAAACCATTGAAAATGTAATTAATATTTTTATTCATTGTGTGTTTCCCAATGCTTAGTCAGGGAAATTAACACATTTGCTCTGAGAATCAACTTACAACATCTGACCTGCTGCTTAAAGGAATTGTTCATCCAGAAAATTTAATTCTGCTATTTTGTCATCATATGAAATGGTATATACTTTCATATGGCACTTTAATGGCGGCCAGTGGTCACTATAAATGACCTTTTTCTGGGTGGAAATATGCTTAGATAACAGTATAGTCTAAAGGTTATGTATAATATGAGGGTAATAATGGCATAATTGTTTTGTTTTTTCTTTTTAATAATGAAATCGGTTTGAACTAGTTTATTCAAATTGTAATGTATTGTGAATAATTAGCGCCCGAGCACCGATGGTGTGAGGACCCTCTGGAAACATTTGCCTGAAGTAGAAGCAAGTTTCAATGAAACTTCAGCCACACTCCAGTGTCGCTTCTTCCAACAGCCTTGCCATACAATAAACACAAGTCCTAGTCCCATAGCCAACTGGCTCATCGAACTGGTGACTTCACTCAATGTCGTTGGTTCGATCCTCTTAGATAGCATCTGCTTTTTTTGGCTTTCTCCAAAAACAACAGAAATCTCAACACACAGCTCTGACTTCTGCACTCAACGTCAGACACAAGCAGCAAATGGATTGAACTGGCAAACCTCCGGGCACGGTTGAAAGGGTCTGGTCATGAAATGGTCAGGGATAGTACCATGATGTCACAGAATGGAGGTATGGAGCAGAAGTGGACAGGACCGATATAATCCAGGTGTTTTGTGCAGATCACATGCAGCTCTCAGAGCCTCGGGATCAACAGATCCTCTGGCATCCGCATCTGCTTTTTCATTTGAGGCTGCTAACTTGGTTGACAAAAATGAATTCATTCAATATGTTAATATAAGTCGTGCACTGAAATATAATTATGCATATAAAATATAAGCTTTTTTATATGAGAATGATTCCAACTGCTGCAAATTGACTCCTACTTAAGTGGGTCAAAAAAGAGCTCTTAAGTTCAACAAATTGCATTTATTATAAATGACTATTTTCATTTAAATATAAGTAACATGCACGATTAAATGCTTTTGTTTAAAGCGCTTACAAATATAAAGTATTCTCATGTTTGGGACAACTTGGATCATGTCCACAGAAATTGGATATTCACTAAAGCTATGTGACTGGCTGATGGTTTCCGAGTCAAATTCATTATCAATTATTTTCATCATCGATAATCATTTTTGCAGCCCTAATGTACTTTGCTCTGCACTGCACATTATGGCAAATTTAGTTGCTCATTTTAGTATTCAATTCATACATACTGCAGAAATAATAGTATTAACTGTTTGAACATAGTATCTGTGGGATAATCGAGCACCAGTGAATCATTTACATCTTAAACATGTATAGGAAATGACATACATTAGGGACGTTTTGATTTCATGTTGACTTAAAGCAAGTCCATCTGACATGTTATCAGCAGCTTCTAGTTTTTTTTTTTTTTTTACTGAAAAACAATAGAGAGCGACGTGCTGTTTATTATCAATTGATTGCCATTGAAACCGGGCCTTTGAGCTGTCTAACAAATCTTTGTAATCCATACTGAGAGGAAAGAGAGAGCAGCAGCCCAGCTCCGCTCTCACAGCCGGTTACTGTCGGCCAGTGAACTCCAGTAACCTCTGCTTTGAGCTGCGCACTTGTGAAGATACGGCTGCTGAGGAGAGATCTTGTGGAAGAGGCATAACTTGGCAGAATAGCTTAGATGTAGATTGCTCACTTTCCTTTTCCATGAGTTGTCAACTCCGTGTCCAATCACTGAAAAAGGCTTTTACTTAAAACGCACAAACGACATTCGTGTCTCTGTTGCTGCA